AATAGATACATGCTACACCACACAGAGCGCTCAACACAGAGCTATTCTAGCCATTTCAAGTCAGCTGCATAATATTTAGGTAGTAATCATATGTTTGAATTTGATTTACCCAAATCCATATGTTTAATAAAAATACATACTATTTGGGAAAATGTATAGACTGAAGTAAAGCAAAAATGTAAATTAGACATATTACAAACCCAGAATGTGACAACAGCAGAACTTGGTGTAGGAGTCTGATGCTGTACGACCCAGCAAAAAAAGTCATGGACCAGCATTTCAATGGACAAAAAGGCAAAATAGAATGAACTGAGATAAGAGCTAGCAATGTAAAACCACTTCAAAATTAGTCAGTCATCAGTCCAGTTTGCAAACAGAATCACTAATGAAAAATTGGCTGTATGCACTCTCTATAAGTTCAAACATGACATAACTCCTCAAAAGCTAGAAGGCAAAGGGACACTAATATGACAAACAAGCATCAGTTTTTAGTTTCTCAAATTCCCAGCCTGACTCAGAATTGAACATAGATCCAGTGGTTTCTTTTGTTTTAGTTTCAAAGAAGATTAATTTAACAGACAACGGCAACAGAATATGCTTATTCATACTGAATCAGATCCTAAAACCGACATGCTCATCCTAGAATGGGCCTTAGAGGATGAAGTGTAAAGGAAGAAGAAAAAAAACCAAACACACACACACACACACAAAAACCCCAAAACAGGCACTGACCAGATACAGGATCTTTTCAGACAGGTAAACATTATCCCAGCTTACGTATCAAGTAAGGTATTAGACAAAAGGCCAATCACAGTCCAAGTTCCCCATCATACTGGCATTTTTAGGCCATACATCTGAACAAGAATGGAAAGGGAAAAAAAGAATAGTGCTGTAATAGCCAGCAGTGCTTCTTTTGTATAGATTTTTTTCTGAAAATCATGTAAAATGTGTTTGCAGTGGTAACTGCACAAGAAGAACTGTTCCCATGGCAAACTAGAGAGTCAAATCTAAACCTCAAATTTGTTCAACATATCCATGTTTCAAAGACAACACAGCATCTTCTTTACTTGCCAATATAGATGTCATACTTGCATGTTTTTGCATAATGGAGCAACTGAAGTGGTCATTTCCCTATTTTTTCCTTTCACTTAAAAAGAAACTCTGCAGCCTAATGCTCTTTGTAAAGAGTACTCCTGAAAAAGTATATTCAAAGTAAACTAATTTGCTAACTTTCCAAAGACTTTTGTGCAGAACATGACTTGCTCATGACAATAACACAAAACTTGTCTACAAGCATATAAACAGCAGCCCTTTTAGGAATGTTACTTTCTAGATTGCAATTAGAATTATGGGAAATAAATCAGCAGAACTCTCTTTGACAAGTAGGTCAAGTTGAGGTGAGCCCAGTTCCCCTCAGCTCAGTTTAGAGCTCCCTTCAGTTGACGAAACAAACTTCCTGTTGAACACCTCCTCTGCATCAACGTCGCTGTCAAACTGTCAGCCAAGCTAACGGGCAGAGAGACATGAGGATCTGATAAGGCAATTCTGTTTTCCAAGAAATTAAACCAAACAAGCAAGGGTTCTACCCTATTTGACCTCTTATTTTCTTAGTAAACTGTTTCTAAATCACAAAGTACAATAAACATCTCAGGATAGCTTTTTATGGGTTTCGTTGCTTACTTGTGAAAATAATAATACTCATTTAAATGTGTAATACAGTCTGATAGCACACTGAAGATCAGACTGATCTTATTGATCCCAACTAATGAAGAAAGTTACTGCACCATAATCAGTAATTCAGGGTTGCCCAGATCAAGTTCATGAATTGGAAACAAACATTGTTACATGTGTATGAGTTAAAAAAAAGCAGGTATAAACATATGTGCAAACAGATGAATATTCAGTACCTGGTAAAGCAAGTGTTACATCTCTTAAAGTGAGCCTCCTACAAAAAGTTACATCCTGTACCAATTTAGGGAGACTGAGGAGAAATAACTGTACACATAGCTGCACTCTACAACAACGGAATGGACCTGCAGTTTATAAAGCATAACCATTGCAGTTGGAAGATGTGCTCTAGGATATCTGAAGGGGAAAACTGAGAGTCTAAATTTTTGCCCATCAACAAAAATATATCTTCAGAAAATGCATTAGACTTCAGAAATCTTCCCAAAGGAAGTAAGTCTGAAAAAAAAAAAAAAAATCGAAAACAAAGCAGAAAATTTAAATCATATTGGAAGACAGACTAGATGTATTCAATAATGATTTTCCCTTGAGTTGCTTTTCATCTGTGACAGCTGTATGCTCAGCATCAAATAATGAAAATTTGCAGAACCAAGGCAAAAGAGACACACACAAATTCACCCCTACATGTGTAAGGACAGAAAAAAGCCACTATATCACCTTGCACAAACATGGTATAGCCAGAGTGTAACAGGATTTTTAATTTAATGTTTTTCTGTTAGAGAGCTTGAATTTCATAATTGCATGCCTAAGAAATAATGAGGGTTTTGTTTGGGTTTTTTTGTTTTGTTTGGTTTTGTTGTTTGATGATTTTGTTGTTGTTTGGTTTTATTTTAATTTTATATTTGAGCTATTTCTCTAGAGCAATGCTAACAATGCTTACACTTAACTCTTGTCATGTTTCCTTTGATCACTACGGTTTTCTCAAATGTTCTGGAGAAAAGCTTTGACATCTGGCAGGAGGGCTGGATGATGGCATCAAAGATACTCTTTTCGCTTACTACTACTGGAAGCCTCTACACATCCAACTTAGCTGCTGGTTGTACCTATCACAGGTTTAAGTCTTTCAAAAGTTATGCAATTTTTCCAGCTACACTCCCTCAAAAATATTCCACATAAGGAGGAAGAAAGGGCAAATAAGCAGTTCTGCATTACAAAGCACATCTGCACATGCATTTAATAGGAAATTTCAACACAGAAATGCATATAAAAATTCTACAGAAGGCAGCTGCGGTCTCCACTGCATCCTCATTAAGAATTTGGTTTCAGAATTTTAAAACTAAATATTGTATTGGTAAGTCCCTTGAACTCCAGTATTACAGCTTTGAATTTGTAAGAGATTAAGACTTCAACTCTCTAATTTTCTTCAACAGCATCAAGCCCATTCTTTCTTAGTACTATTTTAATTCACTGTTTGTAACAACACAAGCTACAAGTCTGGTTCCTTCTGAGCACTTAAGGGGGATCACCAGAAGGAAGACAGAAACAAGCCATTTTGGTTACAGATGAACAGTGGCACCAAGAATGAGATGAGTCATGCCAAGCTTCGAGTTCATCATTTATCTAAAGGACTGCACTGAATAACTCTGATTTTAGGTAAAAATAACACTGATGAGAGATGCAAAAGAATATTACAGATACTATAATTAAAATTGAGAACATAGTAGTTTGTGAAATAAATGAGTTTGCTTTCCCTATTATTATTTTATTAATATTTTTTATATTCCTACTTGCTCTCTGACCTCTGCATTGATCAGGAAATCAATCTCCAAAGGCACGAAGCCTACACTTAAATAGATGGGACAAGAGAAAAAAAAAAAAAAATCACTCAGTTGTGTTTAGTCTTTCTAAAACCTCGCAATATTTATGGTTTGCATTAGCTTTCTGTAAATCCTACTAAGTCTTCGCTGGTCCAAAAAATAATCTTACAAGGCAACACATATGTTCGCCAATACTACTTTTTATCCATAGCAGTAACTGTTTGGAAACAGAATTTTGAATCTTTTAGAGTATTTGATACTCTATAGGCAAAGCAGATTTGGTTGTGAAAAACAAGTCAATATTTGTTAGGATTTATTTAGGATTTTGAATTATTTAAGAAAACTTAGGATTTCAACATTTTCAAGATACTTAAGACTTACAAAGAAATAGCCTATTATGATTTTTCCTAGCATTTAATAAAAACTCAGATTAAAAAAAAAGTTAGCAGAATGTCAAATACTGATTCTTCTTAGTGACTACCATCACATTCTCTAGTATTTCCACTAAATGCCTTAATGCTTCTCTTCTGTTATTGAACCCATCTAGTTTTAGGCCAAGGTTTTCCAAAACTGATCAGTAATAGGTCAGTTCTGGGTAGGGTAATAAAGACGTTTAGGAGTTAAGATTCTTCACAAGAAGAATCTTCAGACATCTCAATAAGAGGTCTTCCTTAGCAAAGCACGTATGTTCACAATTGTAGAAAAAGTTCTCTTAAAAGTTACCAAATTAGGCAGGTAGCCAAAAGCTATCAACCACTTCTGAAAATGCTGTTCTCCAGAAGGCAGGTCACAGGTTAATCTGCCGGGGCAGTAATACAGGCGGACCACCAGGTGAGAGAGCACTACCTTCCCTTTTCCCTGACACATGGAAGTTGCTATCAGTCAGTCAGTGAGTGGCCTGCAAGTGGGTCAAGAGAAAATTGGTACTTCTCCAAAGCAACGTTCCTAAAGCCAAAGGAAATGCTAGCTTGGCTGAGACTATGAGCAGATACGTTTTCTTACTCCATGCTACCCATAACACAGAATCAATGATCAGGAGTGATAATCCTGCAGTACAGAGCAGCTATGAAGAACAGCATAGTGATAAATGTCACTTATTGGGGAAGGCCCAGCACTGTCACTTTCTTACCCAGCACAGTCCCCAACTAGACAGGACTATGGCAGCTCACAATGAGCTTTTACCTGAGAAACATTCTATCCTTTAAGACTGTATACATATATATATATATATACACAAAAAATAAATCTAAAGATATATATAAAAATGGCAGAGACAACTAAGCTAATCTCAGCAGTTTGCTGCATTTTCCCTAAGGCAAACAGAATACCAAGGCCATCTGATTTCCCAAGTCAGTGTGTACTGAACATTCATATAAATACTACAGTCTGACTATGGGATAAGGCATCATAACATCAAGTTTTCATGTTGCTACAGTTTGTAAGTCATCTTAATGTTATCTCCAGTTTAACATTTCCTCTCTTTTCTGGATTCACGGTCTAAGCAGTTTCATCAAATGCCTCCAATTCCTCCTGCAAGATATATTTGCAAAAGATGGCACCAAATGTATCACAACAATCAGCTAGCCAGTCCCACACCGTGACCAACACAATACAGGTTTTGCGTTCATTATACACTTTTAGAAGAGACTGCGAAGAAAAACAATACTTTTTAATATTAAAATTAACCATACATGCAGATATTGTCTTTTCCTTTATACTGTATTTAGTAAGTGCAAAGCATCTTTACCTGACAAAGCATCTTGTGCTTCAAAAAATGTGCTGAGACCTCCCTTCACATAAGCTAGACTCCCCTCATTTTTCTTATTGGCTTGTTTCTTCAAATTCACAACAGCCATTTTGAGCTGATCAAAACTGAAAACAAAGAAGAAAACTCCTATGACATTCAAACAATGAATAAGGTCAGCTAATGAATAAACAGAACAAAATACTTGAAAAATAAAGCCAGCTACTTTTGCAACAACTATTAAGGACTGAGTAATTGCTAATGAGTGTGCTTATCGATAATGTCAGTTTACTCCTAGTCCAAAGAGAGTTTTTGGTTCTTAGTTTTAATCCAAAATGGAGGGCTCCCATCACTTGTGATGGAATACACTTCTTCATAATATAAATTAGTCAAGAAGTTTCTTGTAAACGTGCAATATTGCTCTTAGTTAACTGTCTGTACTACATTAAATAGATGATAGTACAATTCACTACACTTAGTACACTAGCTTAACTACTGGGATGTCATTATTAAAGAGACTTCTAACATTTGTTTAGCTCTGCCACTTAGTTCACAACCCTTTTTCACTTTCAGTTTCTGAATTCCTTCAATATTTTAAGTTGGTTTGGACATATAGTTCAGAATTGAACACCATATTAGTGTTAAAATAAAGAAAAGCTGAACAGATTCCTGCTTTATGAAAGCATGTTTTTCACATGTAGTCTACTGATTTGTTTTTGAAAGACACTTCATAGGGGAATATTCAACACCAACTCATCATTGTTGTTTGTATGATAGGTTTCTTTTTATCTTAGTTTCCTAATATTTCTATATTATTGCCACTTTACATTTGATTTCACATTTTTATTTTTGTAAGCAGCTGCAATTATTTTAGAAGTCTTATGTCTCATTATTTGCATATCCTTTTTTTTTGTTGATAGCGATGAATACAATCTCAGTAGTTATGATACTGGATTGATTATAAAAACACTATCACGAAGAAGCTCAGAAATGTAAACATAACACATGATTTTCATCCTTAAAGTCGTTTCTCCTACCTGCAGGCCAAACCTACCTCACTGATACAAAAGAATCAAACAAAAATCTGCACTATACCTCAGTGAGGAGAGGGAAACAATGAAGTAAGGAAATTAAGACATGAGGCAATTCCACCAATACTCTTTGCCCATTTTAATATGTCTTCTTCTACCACTGATTAAGAGAACAAGCAAAACTTTAGCCCAGGCAGTGCGAAGGCTATCACCACCTGCTGGGAGACAAAACACACTAGTGCACTTACAGGCATTTTCCTTTTTATACTGATGATGTCACAACATTTTGCTTTATTTCCCGTTTCCATCCGCTAGACAGAAATCACATTACTCAATAGCTGGATTGGTCTACTTGGGCATACAAGAAGTACTTACCAGCAGCATTTTTAAACTAACAAAAATCTGTACAGTTCTCTTTTCAAGCACTGTTTCATGTGATCTGATGATCTAACAGCATGTCTAAATAGTTTATTTATGTCATGATATTGCCAGAGTAAAAAAAAAAAAAAAAATTAAAAAAAATATGTTATTTTGATTGCTTAAAAAGAATTTCCTTCAAGGAAAAAACAGACCTACGCTAACCAAAACATCAGCGCACCACACATTTAGCACTCTCAATACCTGAGGTTATGTAGAGGACAAGAACTAAACCATTGCTGTGCGTTTCCGGAAAAACAGCACAAATGATATGGGGCAAATTCCAGAATATTTCTAAGACTACACATTTTTGAAGTGAGTAGAAAAAAAAAAAACCCACAGTTTTGCTGCTTCTTTATTTAGAAAGCTATTTATAATTAGATTCAAAACGATTGGATTCACCCTACCCGTTGAGCCATTCTTCCTGTTGAGTTTTACACAGCTTTTGCACCTTCAACACTAAGGTTTAGATTTTATAAACCAATACAAACTGAATTAATATGCAAAAAAAAGCTTTCGTTTTAAAAAAAAAATTAATACTTTTAATTCCACTAGACTGAGGGGACCATGACTTGAAATTGTTGACACGCAGACACAAATTGATGGAAGTTTTGGGGTTTCCCCCCCCCGCCCCCAAGAAAGATGAAGCACTTAAGGTGATACTAGACAAACTCTTAAAGATGTTTTTTCTTAATAGGAAGCTTCACACCTTACACACCAACAGACTTTCAGGTACTGACCCACTGGCATAGCACAAGTTAAAAAGGGCCATGCAAGCTGATGAAATTATTTAAGCCATCAATCCATAGTACTGATGACCAGAAAAAAACGTGGTTTTGACGACACCTTGTAATACTAGAGATATAACCATTACTTTATGCTGCTGGTCATATTCCATAGTAATTCTGATAAAGAGAGTCATTTAATCAGATCTAAGAAGTCATTTAATTCACCTTCTGGATCCACAGCATCCTTAAACGTACCTAAGCCACCTATGACAGACAGCTGCCAAATCAAATGTCAGCACTCTCTAGTGATGGTGACTCTGCAGCTTTCCAAATCACACTGTGCCAGGGCTTAAGCAATCTAATATTGTTTTTAATCTGCGTCTAAATTTCCCTTGCTGCAAACTGAGACAGCTTGTTCTATTCTTGGTATACCAAGAGCAATTGATGGCTAGCCTTGAACTGCCTACTACGTATTTCAGAACATTCATTCTGTATTAATATTGTTTCTTTTCTAAAAGCACCTAATTAATTCAAACTGCATACCCACAGATATTTCTATACTCCTATGCTGGTGGCTCAGCTCTCATATCATTCTTAAAGTAGTGGTCAAAACTGGGCAGAGCAGTTCAACTGCAGCTTTAACAACCCTGAGCAGAATAATTATCCCCATATTTTACATAACACAGTCTTGCTGATACACCCCAGAAGACGATTTGTACTAGACAGCCAACTAGTATTTATGCCATGTTACAAACACCAGACTGTCCTCTGTACTACTGTTGCCCAGGCCCAGGAGTGTACTCTGCTGCTTGCCTTCCCCATACCCCTTAGAGCCTTGCACTCAACTATTTCATGATTGTTACAGCCAAAGTTCCCACTGGTTATCACGTCCCCTGCCTTGCCTGTAAGAATCAGATTTAGGAAAGCAGCAAGCCTGGTTGCCCACCTAGCAGCTATGTCAGAAGTCATTCCCAGAACTCTCCACAATCCTCCTGGGTTGCTGCCCTTCCTGTAAATATCAGGCAGATTAAAGTCTTGTACAGGAACCAGGGTCTGCTCTCTGAAGACTTCCTCAAGTTACTTAAGGAAGATTTTGTTCACTTCCTCATCCCAATGTGATGTCACCCTTTCCAGCCTCGTGAATAAGCTCTCAACCATCCTGCTACCTGTTCCATGAAAGGCACCATATATTTATTCAAGCTGTTCCTTCACTCAAAGGTCAAGTCCCTCTCTTCTTTCCTAGATACCTTTCTCAGAAGGCCTCTTCCCGTCCATCACAGAACACAGCACATGAGCTATCCCACTTCATTTCAGTGACATGCTTGTTTAATCCCACGTGTGGAGTTCTGGCTCCTCTTACTTGTTTCCCAGGCTGCATGTGAGTGTGTAAAGGCACTTGAGGTTAGACCCTTCCAACTCGTTTTGTGATCCCCAACAGCAATCTCCATGCCATCATTGAACCACACATGTAACGCTCTGTCCCTTCATTTAACTGCAAGCTGTTGTCACCACCCTTGATATTCCTAACTTGAAGTCCTTGTCACCAAAGTGTAAACCTGTTGGCAAAGAAACCTGCCCCATCTTTTCAAATTAATCAGATTTCTCACTAGCAGTCCTTATTCTTTAGTAATGGATCCCTGGCCACAGAAGTAAAAAAAATGCTGCCTTTGAAACCAGTGGTACAGCCATCTGTGAACCTACAGGATGCATCCACTGCTACCTGAAGCTTTCCCCTTCACCTGTAAATCAAAGAGAATATCTGGGCTCCCACGTTCTTCACTTTTGTCCCCAGGGCTTTGCAATCACTCTTGATCTGTTCTACATCTCTCTTGGCAGCATCACTGGTGCCCGCGTGAATGAGCGACAAAATGGCAACAGTCCAAGGGCTAAACTTAAAGCAAATTTCCTATAAACAACTACATCAAAAGCTGTTTGTTCTCTTTGTTATCCCCTCAGCTTTTTTTAAAACCTGATGATCCCTGAAGTTATCAGGTTGTGATAGGCAGAGTTCATTTTGAACCATTCCTCTTTTAGTTACTTAGTTACAAGAGATGTTGTCACTACCTGTGTATTAGGTAATAATGTTCTCCTGCTGCTGTTTTGGCTCTTCAATCTACCATCACTTTCATATGAAACAGAAGTATTTCCCAAGTAGATTAATGATTACTTCTGGAGCTCCTAAAATGAAATACCACCACCAATCCCCCCGGCCCCCCACCCCCCCTCAAAAAAAACCAACCAAAAAAACAAACCTCAAAAAACCACTAACAAAAACAAACAAAAAAACTTCAAATCAACCCACACGTTTCTACCATCAGATAACAAAAAAAATTAAATAAATTTGCAAAGTTGTATTTCCCTTCAAAATGTTAATCAGAATACCCAGCTGAAAACAAGAACAACAAAAGGCTCATCATCTCTACTAAAAATGGTTTCCAGTATTATCTGCACACTAGCAGATAAGTTTCAGAATATCAGTTATACATGCAAAAATATATTTACGTAATGCATTCATGTAAGTACATATTATGAATTAGATTTTTAAATGAAGATGTTAATTGTCAAGATTTTAAGACATTTACCTCAAAGATCTTACTCACTTGTCCAACTTCTTTTACTATAGCATCTTCCACAAGAGTTAGCTAAAAGCTAATTGATACTACTAACAGTTTTAGTCTTAGTTGTCCGTTCAGTGCCCTTATCCTGAGCCTCTAGTCAAGACTTAAGTTACCACCTGGAGTTTCCACTCAAGGCCATGTTGCCTAACTTCTTGATTCACAAGGGTCTTTAGCCTGAAGAAAGACAACCTCCACCTGACATGGGGCAGGGTGGGCAGGCGGTGGAGAAGAGGCCATAAATTAGGTCTAGTTAAAAATGAAGTTTTCCTCATAACCACATCAAGCAAACTGGTTGATTCAAGTTTCTAGCTAAGCAGAAACACCACAGGCAGTAGAGACTACAAGTCTATTACTATAAATGTCAACCATCAATGACACACCAGTTGTATAATGAAATAGTATCAAGTGACTTGCATTTAAAACAATTATTTATGATAGCAACAAACCTTGTGGTCGAATGATTCTCAATCAGGTACCAGGCAGCAGAAAAGTTTTCACTAGTGAAATCAGCACTCATGCCAGGAAACAGTGCCTCTAAATCTTTTTGAGGAAATCTGCCTCTGAAAAAGAAATATCCATTTCTTCAGTTATACATATTCTTGTGAACAGTTTAGAATTAAAAATGTCACATAAAAATAAAACAAACAAACAAACAAATCATGTTGCAATAAGATGTAAATACGAACTTCTACCTCACTGTGAATTTGAATCTGGTATTACAGACATACATAGCATGACTAGGAAAGGAAAAATTGAGATCTAATCAAAACTAATTTTACCATTTTGATTTTACCATTGCACATATGACAGAAACGTTGTTGTACAAAATGCTTCTAAAGAAAAAGAATCGCTGCCTTCAGAAAATGAGACTAGGACAGACCCACCATGATACTACTAATACTCAAATGCAGCACTGCTAATGCTGAAAGTACTCAAAGTCAACTCTACCTTTTAAACAGGAAAATCGGTACACCAAGTCAAGTAAATAAGAGAGAATATTCTCTATAAGCCATGAACCAGTATCTATTTAACTTTAAAATGACATGACATCACCAAGTTGACAGTTTGTAAGTGATCTCACACCATCATTGTCTATTGGTCCATGTGCAGCAGAAATCCCATGGAAACATGAAGGAAGATACACAGAACATACTTCCATTATATACAAACACTGAAAGAAATCCTGACTTACAATTATCCTCTTGCAAAACAGAATACACCAATCTGTCTGTTCATAGTACAGAAAACATGAAGGAAAAGCGGGCATGTCTCGAGTGAGAAACAGCATGTTTTGTTTGTTTTTATTCAGTCTTACAATGCATAAAGATAGCACGCGAGCCAATTCTTGTGAAAGCAGATTCTCTACAACAGTATTTTTGAAATTACAAGTAGCTTCTAAGATACTCATACAGAAAATGTATTCCATTTATTTTAAGGCAGTATAATAAAAATAATTAAGGCACTTTTTGATGAAAATACAACAATTTTCATCCCACAGTCCAGACACATACTGAACAGTTGCCCATATTCATTCCACCATGCACTCTCAGTACATCACCAGGTGCAGTCACCACTATTCTTTACCACCAGCTGCATCCCATCTTCAGAAACTAACAGTGGCAAATAAGTTTACTTTTGGTCAGCCCTGAATTGGTCAGGCAGTTGGACTAGATGATCACTGTAGGTCCCTTCCAACTGAAATAGTCTATTCTAAAAATTTACTATGTCATTTTTGGATCACAATGTCAAACTCAAAAGTCAGTAAAATCCCTCTCTGATGCTCACAAGCTAGGTGAACTCTGGTATACAAAGTACACTGTATGCAAACGCAAACCTGCGGTACTTTGCATTTGAGATCAAACTTGGGTGGGGGTAGCAATCCAGAGTCAGCTATTGGAATTACGTTTAATACATACAAAAAGCCATTTGAATTGACATGAAAGCCATGATTTGTTAGTTTTGGTTTTTCTGTAATCTAAACATGTTTCAAGATAGCTAAAGCTGTTTTTATTACAAAAAGCAAACATCAGATTAAGTGAAGCAAATCTAAAGGCAGGTGCATTTAAAAAAGTGCAATTATACAGAAAAAAGAGTTTTCTGCTAAGTTTCTATGCATATCCAAATGGCCATTAGCACAAGCAGGCACAAATGACCTACATACACAATGACATGGCACAGAAGTCTTTCATCAGTAGCTCCTGATTACATAGGGGCATGTTTTTAAAAACAAGAAAAAAAAAAATCAAATGAGATGCAAGGAAAAGTGATGACAGACATGAAAAGTAGAGAGACCGGGAAAATAGTGTCAGAAACATACCTAGTAACCGAAAATCAGGGTCCCAGCACTTCTGTGTGTTCAATGAAAAAGTGATAATATTAATATAAAAATCTATAAACATAAGTAGTGAGATTCAGGATTACCAATGTCCTTGAATTTCATGAATGCCTGTTAGTAAGCAAAAAATGCTGATGGATGTAAGAAGGAGAAAAAAGTTTCAATTTATCCTTCCTTTAAATACATTTTAAGATATCTTATTTTTCAAAGTAGTCAAAAGTGCCCAGTAGGCACATGAATTTGCAGGATAATACTTCACATGCGATACATGGCATGGCTGCCCAAAAAAGCTTTACATTAAATCCACATATGGTGGCATCTTTGTGGTCAGCTACATTTTTTAATGCTAAAAACCAAAAACAATAAAAAATTTTCAGTTAACTTAGAAAAGACTTAGACCTTCAGTGCAAGCACTATATAAATGCATGCATATAATACAGAAGGAAAATTTTGTTCATATTTTTCAGAATTTCCGTATATTTTCTCAGAAGCCAAAAGAAACAGATTTAACACAAAAAGCACACACATTCAACAAATACACCATTACCAAATGCTACTTATTATTGTGACATTTAAGACATATGCATGACAGTTTAAGCTTATGCATGAGCTATACAACTCCTGGGGTGGGGGGTGGGGGAACCAAACAATTTTTTATACTTTTATTGAGATACAAGACCAATAATTTAGCTAAGGATGTAATAAATTTCTGCAAACGAGTTTTGCCCATAGACAGTGGAACAGAAATGAAGGGGCTTTTTCAGTTTGATGTTTGGCTGCATTGAAAAGTTATTAGCAGCTTTTTTCCAGCAGATGTATTTCTGCAGAACCATAAATTAGCAATGCGTTTATGGGTGCTTTTATCTGTGTGGACATATTTTAGACATAGTCACAACAGAGTAGAAACATGAATGTGAATGTGTGTGGTATGTTAACAATATGTTATACTCTATGGTGTAGTATCCGTAATTTTATGATAAATTTTACCAGTAGTTTTTCCACTAACAGATATGGGGAGCTTGGAATGACTTGCTACAGCTGTCTTCACAACAAGCTGCTCACTAAAAAGTTCAAACTGAAAGCAACTGTATTTCTAAAATGTCCGGCCAGATGCATCTAAAAAGAGACTGACTCCATATACACACAAGTTTGTTTCATTAACTTCCATTAGTAAATTACATAAATAAGTCCTTGGAAGTTGTTCTCATGAAAACTTGCTTACCGTTTACTTATAAACAAGCACATATGAGACTTGAGGAAGTATTTCTGTTTTACTCATTTCAACATTATGGGGGTGAATATGAACTAGTAGCAAAAGCAGAGACCATGCTCACATGCAATGAAATTGTAGATAATTTTTCTGTTGATTTGCTCATTATACAGGAATCGCTTCAGCAAGCAACTCTGAATACTTAATCATTGATTAAGAAGCAATCACTGTAAAAGAAACTGGGAACCACAAATTGAACCCAGAAAACCTCAGAAAAAGGAGAAGTATACAATCCTTGACACCTCTACGTATTTCGCTACCTTTACAACTCCTAGCAAAGGTACATATGTTGGATTTATATAGTAGTGCTTTCTGCTAGGCAGACTATCTTACTTAAAAGAGAACCGGATCTGGTACTAGACCTCTAGTTAACATTTTAAATTAAGTCTCACTCATCCATCAGCAACAATTTTAAATATAAAAGTAATTAAGATTTCATATACTCTTTATCTTCATGAGAACTATAACAAAAATAAATTTGGTTTCAAGCCACTATACACTTTTACTTCCCTCAAACATATTTTGAGTATATCTAAGAGTCACGCAGGATTAGATGTAGTGGTTCTTGCTTCCACGTAAAGGACATACACATCTACTTTGGATTCAAAACGCAGGGTACAATCAATTCACTTGCACTGCATGTGTCCATCAATACAAGTCCCGCCCTCCACTACCCCAAACTTTAGGTTCTGTATGGCCTGATACTCTATAAATCTAGTTTAGCATCACAGCCTATATTGACTCTTACAAGTTCTACTACAGAACTTGTGCATATATAGACAGCATTTATATTTTCCAGAGGTTTAAGATTCACTGTAATCTCCATGGGTAAATCACAGCCTGCAGTCACAACTGAGTAACAGCAACAGAATGCAATGGATTCTAATGAACAGAGCCTGACTATGAACGCAGCTTAGCAAGTTGTAATTTTTCTGTAAAGACTATTTTGCTCCCAGAGTTTCAGAATCTCATAGTATGCTTTTCAGCATACATGACAATATTTGCAGATTAAAGGCAGGTCCCAAAACAGGATACAGCCACCAAAAGGTAACTTGAACCTCAATTCCACAGCAGTTTATAGGTCAAATAAGCAACTTTAAATAAACACAGATTCTGAATAGCAACCAGCATAAACAAGCTCCAGCTAGAGCTGCTGTACACTCGCCTCTCTGTCTGGGACCATTCAGACCCCTAGAAGTAGGCTTTGTACTAGCTATACTGTGTTAATAATGCATGCAAGACAACCAGTATAAGGGACACTGGAGTAGACTAAACACAACAAATCAGAAGGTGTCAATAAAGGTCCCTCCAACAGCAAAAAGACAAGGATGCACTCTGGCAATTACTCCCTAGCAGCACTGGGCTTATCAGAAATATGACAAGAAAATTACAACCTTATTTGAGAAATGGCAGAATGTGATAAGAGAAATCTACGAAGAGATTGTAGGCTGGTAGTTGCAACTGATGCATCAGCCTTATAAGTAGTAAGTGTTACTATACTTTTTAACGTCATAAAACTAGGACTATAGAATACTAGATACTGTATCTCTCTCCTGCAGGTTTCACAATTTTTCCACATGCATCTCTGTGATAAAAGTTTCCACAAGCCCATCACATTCAAGGATGAATTTGACTGCATTTCCATACAAGCCACTTGCAAATAAATAAATAAATATCAAAGCCTCCAGAAAGTCTTTTCTGATCTCATGGCAGCAAGCTGACATTTACCATTAGGTGGCAGCGTAAGATCATCTGTTCCCTTCTCCCAGATGAACTGTTTTGGAAGCAGGCGTGGGAAGAGGGAAGCATCTGTATTGAGTGGGTGGATACAGAAGTATGTGGAATGTACTTAGCATGTCAGCATCTGCTTTCATGTACAAGATGGATCCACCATAATGACCTCTGCTACATGCAAAACAACAAACACTATTCAAAAATTTTCTAACCATCACTAGGTCTGACCCCTGTTACTGCTTTGCAGAGAATGGATTTTCTTAGTCTGACAGAGTAGGTAGAGGAGGCAGGGAACCTTTGACTAAGCAAGGACTTGTCGTGCAGGAGGGGAAAAGTCTGTGGTACATCTGAACAAGCAATTCTTTCACAAATCTTAGGTAGATCTTAAATTTTCCACCAAAGGATTTCAACCAGTGCCTTTATGAAACAGGCAGCACATATTCTTTCCCAGAACTGTTCAAAATTCTGAGCAACGCTATGTTGGTAGGATGTCATCTACCAACCTGCTTGTGTTAACACCTCTAAACTGCTAAAACCAACCCAAGTACTGCAACAGCACTGTTAACGTTAGCATTTTCATAGCAAGTTTCCATGTTTCTCAGACTGAGGTGACTACTCTGTATACCCTTTTTCTTCCTGCAAGCTATTTAAGCCTTCTGCAAGGGTTTCTGACTACATCTGCATAACACCACAGCCAGGAATATTCCTTGGGGAGGAAGGTGGAACAGACCTGCTTTGCACTTAAAGCCAGCATAAAGACAGTGATAGAAAACTAAAGCTTTGTATCAGTCTTTACTCTGTTCTGAAAATTGAAAAACTAGAACTCAAAGATTAAATATTTTAAATACCTACTTTCCAGTGTGAATGAAATACTTCATAGCATACACACAATACGTACTAAGTGATAGCAATGTGAAAAAAGAACCAACTCATCTAATGGGATCAGTTCTGTGTTTTAAAAGATGAACAAACAACTGTTAGCAAGGCAGGAGAACAAATGTGTGCAAACACTCTTCTATGAATACATTGGTGACTTCAAGCATCACCACTGAAATATAATAACCACCAAGTTCAAGTTCCATTACAACAGAAATTATTTTATCATTTAGCAACTGAGATTGATGGTTGGTTGTATGGCACAAGAACAGCAATTACCTCTTGGAAAATATGACAAACTTATCAGTCAGAAGTTACGTATACTTACTACTTCTTAAACTTGCAGGCTGAAAGATGATGGCTTGCACATTGTGCGTACATATAATATATTTTAAATATCTTGACTATGTAAAAAATAACCAGGAGGATGAGTGTATATCCAAAGTTCTTACTTTGCATCCTTGCAACATTTGAATATGAAAAGATAATTCCAGTGCATATTTTGACTATATACAGTATTCCTACAATATATCTACAGGCAGCATTCTAATTAATACAATGGGTTAGACCCACTATTATCTATTTCCCTTAATTCACAGTTCAAACCTTTCTTCACTTAAATCCCAATCACTCCCAATTAAACTCCAATCTTAAGTCTACTGAGTCAGAATAAATATTTTTTGTCCCTGTGCTTGCCTAATAGTTTAATGAAATGCTGTCCTAAAGCACTTCCGTTCATTACTCACAGGACCTTATTTCTAGTATTTCAATGTTCCATTTACACCTTGAAAGTACCCACCTGAATGATTCAAAAGCTATGATTAATTTTTAAACACATTTTAATTGGACAAGGTACCATATACAATGTTTAAAAAAGCCACAAAAGGAACTTTTAGAAATAAGCATAACCCATATTAAAAGAAAAAAAAAAAATCACAACAGATAGGTGATCCCATGCTGCCCATTGTCTCTTCTGTATCATTTGCTGATGACTGACAACCGCTTTCTAGAGGGAGGACATCTTTCTCTCTTTCAGTCTCTGGTCCACTCACTTCCTACCTTCTCTTCAGTGTGCTCCTATCTAGCTTATTCTCACTCTATTTTCTCACATCTATTTTTCATCTTTTTTCTCTTATCTCTTTTTCACACAAAATCTGAGGTTTCATTAACATGATATTTTCTAATGCTTTCAGATGAAACATTTAAAATATAGAATCACTGGTTTCCTATTTAACAACCATTCAAACAGATGACTCTAGGATTTGTTTAGTTTAAATTAAATGCTGTTTAGGTTTCCAGAAGATAATTCTTAATCTATCACATTGATATTGTCTTAACTGTAAGAGCTATCAATTTTGGTTATGAAGCCAAATACTACATTAGAAGTTTTGTTAAAATAAGAACAAATTAAAAGTAACTGTGTCATAACCATTGTATTTACAGAAAGAAGTACTGTGAGAAACCTATGGATAAAATAGAATAGGTTATCTTCACTATAGAACTAGTTATCTTGACTTAAATGTCAGATAAAATATTGGAAAAGCTGTTGCAGGGTTCATCAAGTACAGAATTAAAGCAGAGAAAATTAGTTTTAATGTCAGCCAGTCACAACTGTTTCTTTCGATGTTTGAGAACATATTACATGGGCTTTGAGATTAAGTCCTTCGTTGAAAAAAGTAACCAGACAAAATTGATATATCATCATCATTTTAAAGGAGACTTGCTACCATAAGATTGATTAAAAACTTAGTTTTATGCAATGCCAACAGAATACATCACATGGATTAAAGAACTAACTACAAAAAAACCCTAATCCATGGAGAAGCAAATCTAAGAACATCTTCAGGTCAAGTTTTACTAAAGCCCACATCACTCTTTCATCCTTATTTGCATAATCACCAACAACAGCTTTATCACCAACAATTTTCTATAAATAGTTGGTAAAAACATTAAGAAGAAAGATTGTTATCTGGACTGAGAAGACAGACTTGTCACAGAACCAATAAACAGAGGAATATGGTCAAATGCAAAAAGATACAGCCAGGATAAAGGAATCCAGGCCATCCCTACAGAATAATGAGCAACTACGCCAGCAGCAAAAGTAGCAACTCAAGAGAATGAGCTAGCAAGACACTCACTGCTAGTGGTCAGTGCAGCATTGTGGTAAAAAGGACTATTATGGTTTTTTTCATTTATGAACAGGGGAGGGAGAGTGAAGGAGAGACAGGAAATCTTCTAGTAGGATGCTGTAATACTGGCCACAGTCCTAGAGTCCACATTTTAATAGGGCTGGAGAACTGGAGAAGATGAAAGAAGTACCTTGTCAGTAGTTATATCAGAAGCTGGAGAAAGATACTTAGAGACAAAGTCTTCAGCTTATTACAAAAAATTGGGTTAATACTTTGAAAATAATGAAAAATACATATTCAAATTAGGAAAGAAATGCACAGTCAGATGCTGGAAGTGATGACAGATCGACTAGAAATCCCATAAAGGTTCTGGGAAAGTGCAGTTTCCCCATCAGAACAAGGTAACAATGGACATTGCAGATTTTCTCCAACGCACTCCCTCCCCCAGAGTATTCAGCAGATGAGACCCCTAGTAATAGTTTTATTTTAGATAGCTTTTGGTTTTGGTAAAGCTAGTATCTTGATCAGGAGAAATATTATTCCTGATGCTATTTCTAGGAGCTGGGCAGGTTTGGAGCCCTAAGAGTGTCCCATTTAAAGCCCTCTAATTCCATTTATCACTAGCTATATAGTTTCTATTTCATAAAAAAAAGTCATAAATTCCACCATACTTACAAACAAAAGTAAAGAAGTCTGTGGGTTGCAAACAGTATTAATATTTCAATAAAATAAGCTAGTTGATGTGGTATAATAAATCACATTTTACAGCGCAATTTTAGCAACAGATAGCAATCTAAACATCCTTAAAAGCCCCATGAAACTCAAATGCAACAATAAGTATTCCATAACTACAACGTATAAATCCAAAGCCTTAGGTTATTTACCAATCCTCAAAATCTAAACAACACCAGGGTTCAATATATCAGGCTTTTAGATTATCTACAGTTCTAATTAATGATCCAAAAATGAGGATTATGAAGCAGGATAGAATGTGCACCAACAACTCTATTGGGTACCAAATAGCATACCAACAGCTAATACATGTATGTATTTTTAAATCTTTCCCTGCCCTGTAAACCACTAAAACCTTTTCTGGAATTCACAAAGGCACATATAGAGAAAACCACTAAAAAAGTGGATTAAAGGCATTTGGTACTCACTTGTCTATCTCAATACCAAGTGGATTAGCTGGACGTAGGGACAAGGGGGGAATCCCTTTGTTCCTATCAGTGCGCATGTCATAATAGTTCATTTCATCCACCCAGACAGCAGACTGATCCAAGATACCTAGAGAAAACAAAGCACAGATCCTTAAAACAACAAGGGCGGTCCAGCACCATCAACTTCTAACATACTGAATTAATTTGAAAAATCCTGATAAATATAAAATGCATGCCTAGGTAATATATTGGAACATACATAGCAAAACAACCTGGATGAAATTATGCTAAATTATTTTATTATAGCTGCTGAAAAGGTATTCATGGCTGGGCATCAAACATGACCCTCTTACAGAGCGCACAGTTTCATGTACATGAAGAGCATCTTCCTGACCACACATTATTACTATTTTTCGTTCCTCCAAGTATTTTGATATCTGTCCAAACCTTGTCATCTACTGCTTTCAAAATGAGCAATTATCTGGAGGTCGTCTTATTTGCTTATTTTATGGAAGATGCCTTTTCTGGGCCACTCACTAACCAAAAAGTAAGTGAACTTTGGCCACATGCCAACACGGATGACTCGAAGGACATAGCACTGACTTTGTTTCCAAACCCTTAGCACAGACAATGCATAAAGGTGACGCACAAGAGCTCCTGGCTCTCAGCCAAAAATTCAGCCAGCCATAGTCTTGGCCATGCTCCTCTTTAACATACTCATCAGACACTCAACATCAGAAATTGCCCCATCCCTGCACTTACTAGTTTTTTAAAATACCGATTCTCCTCTCCTACCACCAAAAGCTTTATTGTGTAACATTTGCACTTGGTCTGCCTTTCTATTATTAAGGTCTTAGTATAGTTTGGGAGAAACTATGTGTTATTTGACTGTCACTGAACACAGAGAACAAAAGTCTAAAACAGCTTCATCAATGAGGTGTTCTGAAAGAAACAATCTCAATCCAGAGGCGACTTAGACTGGATTCTAGACTAAGTAGAGGTCCTAGACTGCTTGGCAACATCCTTTCAATGGTTAAGCATCTCATGAGAAGTACTTAAGACTTTCTGTCTTGCAGGATGGTTTGAATTACAAATAAGAACTTTAAAGGATTAACTGTCAGCTCAAGATTTAGGTGTAAAGCTCATGAGCCGGTTTATATTTCATATTTATCTAGTATACTTTGAGTAAGTACTGAATCTGTTATGATTCTTTTTTCTAAATTTTAGAAGTTTAGTGCTACTCCTTACAGAAAAATAAAGGGCTACTTTTCATTAGTCATTGAGGGTTTTATCAGGATACTGATATAGAAGGATTAATTTAATATACACTGTGAGTTTATCTATTTATACATTTGCACATTTTTATTGATATACTGCTTTTTCTAGACAACTGAAGATTGTCCTGAAGTGGATCCATTTAAAACATACATTTTATTTAAAGAGGCACTCAGTCATATATTTGTTTAGCAAAGAAAACAGATGTGAATTTGAACAAGAAAAATACCTATTTTTTCAGGTTTAAGCAGTTTGAAGGAAACAGTTGAAGTTCCTTTGCCACCAGACTTTGTAGTAACAATAATGTCTCCCTTGTCATTTTTAGCTTGCCCGACTCGACACACAATTTTACTGGCAGACATCCATTCAGCAGTTAGCAGACAGTTGTGCCCACAGATTGTTAAACCTGGGAAAAAGAAAAAAAGAAAAACCCTACTGTGAATAGAAGTATCTCTTCAAAATCTGCAATGCAAATACATTTATAATGCCTCATATATTTTACATAAATATATGACCCTTCTCCAGTCCCTTACAGCCAACGACAGTGAAAGAGTCACGAATACATTCTTCATATGTTCCCTAGGTGACTTTTGGCATACTGACACTTCACGAGACACATGCAGTGCTGCTTGAAGTTTATTTTAATCTCCTCCACTAGTTATGGACTACAGCAACTTTTATTTCGTGCTGTACAACACATCTTGTGTCTGCAAAAGACTACAGAACTGCTGTTCAGTATTGTACTTACATGAAACTTCCATCAAAACTGCATTAAAAAAAAAAATCTTTCATAAGTTTGCTCCGTGTGACTTTGCAAAATATTCACAACGAACAACATTTCTTCAACCTTATTTGTTTGCCTGTACTTTTGTGGATACAGAAGGTTTTTTTGGTCAAAAAAACTATTAATTGTCAAATATTCTGTCCCAATGTCTTTTGTACAAAATCCATAATGCAAGACTGATTCTGCTTAATGAACTGCCTGTTGTATGAAAGAATAGTCATGTAATATTCATCTATTTTCTCTTATAAACGTTCTCATAACAGAAGGACAAATGACAAACTATGAAATAAAAATACAACATATATTTTAGCCATTAAGTTCTCTCGTAGGAAAAGACTGTGGCGTATTAAAACATGTCAAGCTTTAGTGTTTAAGAACACCTCTTAACACTTAAGAGTCAAAGTACACCTTAATATAAGGTCCAAGGCGTCCTGGGACTTCACGTCAAATCAGTCTGGTCAGCTGATCAATCTGACCGATCAATCTGATCAATTCTGGTCAGATCAGGACTTTGGATGCTGGAAAAGATGGATTGTTTTCTCTTATCTAGAACAACAATTTCTACATTCCTAATCGGAGTTTTATAGTCCTGAAGAATTGACAAGATCCTAATTTCTATAGTATCGATCTGGAGAACAACTTCATTAGGTTCTTCTTAAATTTAACACCCTTACCTAGAAACATTTTGCCTTGTGGCCAAAAGGACAAGGCCAGACTAGCGTGTTGGCTGTACTGAAGTATAAATTAGTCAGGCATAGCAGTTCCTTCCCTGCTGGCTTGGCTTTTGTTTTTAATTTCTAGAAAGCTCCGACCAATTTAAAAAATACTTACAGACAGAAAAGTGTCAGCGTATGTGGCTTAGTACCAAAGTTTCACACTTTTCCCCCCCCCCTCACAATTTAAGTCTCTGACATTAGGCAGCAGACAAATTTGGCAGTTTTCACGGTTGTCAGACGTAAAAGTGCCTTACTCCCTGCCAAAAACTATTTAGAAAATGAAAACCAAAAACTAAAAAACAGAAAGGCACTGAATCTTACTACAACTGAAAGTAATTTTACTTGAACAATACAGTAAAGGCACAAGACAATTTTTAAAACAAGTAACAGCACTTTTTTTGATAGTACAGATACAACACTCTTTTCTCCAAAAAGAGAAAACTTTCCTTTAACTAAAATTTCATTTTAACCTCTGCATGGTATAAAGATCTTTGAGAACATCATACTCGGGTTCTAGCTTTTATGTGTCTTTCAATAAATAGGTACAAGTAAGACTCTTACTGAGACTTTCCAATTTTGGTTAAGCTTATATATTGACAATTTTACAATGCCTACAAAATACAGCTGCAAATGTCTTAAAAGACAAACTAAATCTTGAGAGCATAAACGTTACAGGTATCTTCTGGATGTGACTTTTTGTACGGTGAGCTATAGAGTTACAAATAAAAAGTTTATTTGGTTTCAAAGATATAAAGAGATTGCTAGAAGTCTCACTCAAATGAAAGAAAAAGGCATGTTCTTCTATTATGCGATATTCTGTTTATATCTATAAAAAGGTTTCTTGCTTTTCATTTTACTCTAATGCATCTCAAATAGTAGATTATAAACTTCATAAAACCTGCACTGAAATTTGCTTAAATCTCATGCCTACAAAGGCTTACTTTTGCAAGTATTTCCATTCAAGTCACAGGGAATAGTTACATGCTTAATTTAACAATGAAAAGAAATCTTTACATGTCTGGGGCCTTAGTCACTTACTAGGGAAAGTTGAGAATTGAGCTAAGGAAAAAAAACTACGGCAATCCATTATTTATTTCTTTATTTTTACCTCAAAGCATGAGATTACTAGCAGTTAGGTGTTACAACAGCTACTCTGAAAAAAATATTAGCAGTTAGTCAGCTGTAGAACTGAAGCACAGTTCAAGAGATGTCTTACTTCCAGGAACCTAGCACTGATCACTTCCAAGAGGATCATACTAATGAACTAATGAGGTTATTGAAGTACACCAATCACACAAATACATAGAAATAGACTTACCTCTAACATCATCAGTTATTTGACTATTTCTCAACAAAGATTCATTAGTGTAGCGCAACCTTGTCTAGCAGCTCAGGAAAACACTACTTCCCCTTTTGAGAGACAGCAAACTGAAGTGAAGGGGAAAATTATGTAGTAGCTTATGCTTGGCCATGAAGTTCATCGTGGTAGCCATGAATGGAATTCGGGAATCTTGGTTTACAGCCATGAAGTGAAATATTGTTTCTAGCAAAGCCAAACAAAATTCCAATGGACTTCAGAGGAGTCATGATTCCACAACAAATTAGATAAATTGTCTCTAACATGAATACTGAAGTACAAATATGCTTAACTTACAAAAGAAATAAGGGAAACTCCAGTAGTTACAGTTAACTTAGATTTCCAGAAGATTTTATAAAGTCTTCTGAAAAGGCTTAAGAAAATTAAGCAGCTATAGAATATGATCCTCAAACAGATAAATAGCCTGTTAAGACAGAAACAGGTTTAAGACAGAAACAGGTTTAATGTAAATCGTGTGTTTTCACCAAGGAAAGTTTCCACAGGGTATGTGCGGATCACTTAATATCCAATATATTCATAAATGACAAGATAAAGAAGTTATAAAGGTTGCTGATGATATTAATTTATTCAGAATGTAAAGACCGTAAAAACTAGAAAAAAAAAATGCAGAGCAGATCTTACGAGACTGAGTGGATGCACTGTAACATAGACACCATAAAACAGCAGCTGAAATTCAATGAACAAAGATATGATGCACACAGGTAAACCCTTAAATTTACAGATGACAGCCTCAAACTGACTACTAATCCTCAAGCCTTAAATCATGGGACTATAATAAGCATTAGCTCAATGCTTAATAGGAGTTATATGGAAAACAGAATCCTATGGAAGGAAAACAAAACAGAGTACAGTATTATGCCACTGTGCATTCACACTCTGAACACTGCATGTAACCAAGATGATGTTCACCCTTGGTTGGTAGTGAAACCAAAAGAGATTCACTGAAGAGCAAGAAGGGTCAAAGATACATGCAGAAAATGTAAATACGCTAGGAATTTTCTGTCTGGAAAAGAGGCAACAGAGCAATGATGATCAAGATCTGTACGGTCAGGAGAATCAGAGAAAACTGCTTGTTCCCTCTTTCAATGCAAGAGCTATGATGATTCAAATGAAGTTACCATGTTAAAAATCAAAACAGCAACAGAAATGGTTCTTCACATAATGTGTGGCTAAATCATTGAACCCGCTTTTTCATAACTGTTACAGATACACAAATTGACTTTTATACTAATTCAAGGAATAGCAACACCCAGTGACTTTCTCAATACATTGAAAACACTTCTGATAGGAAAATCTCCACGCTGAAATTCTCAATGTCCAGGAAAGTAAAAAAGGAGCACATGTTACCTCTACCCTCTTCCAGTGCACTCCCACAGGCATTCATTCTCAGTGTTCAGCACAGGATGTTGAGTCAGCCTAAGGGTTCATCTAGCAATGTATGATCATTCTGATGAGTTACACATTGGGCATCATCCCTGAATTTACGGATTCAAGTGCATATTTGTGAAAAGGGCAGCCCTTATACCATGTAACATAGATTTTACCAGGCAAAAAAATTATCTCTAATCATATCCTAAATGTGACTTTCTACAGTCTCGAAGGAAGCTTTTTTTTCCCAACTTACCTATGAGGTCTGTAGGCCCAGTCCCCAGATTTTCTCCTCTAATTGTCACTTTTGTCCAGGAGATGCCTTCATTGGGAGAGATGCCGGTTACAAGTGGGGGTTGCCGTGCTCGAGACATGATGTCTATTCAGTTACTGAAAACTGAGTTGTTTTTATCTGTTCAGCAAGAAACAATCCTTTAAAAAAAAAAAATTATGTAAAAATTAAAAACCTTTTAAGCTGTTCTTCTAAAGTGGTAGAGAAATAGGAATGTAAATACGGAACAATATTCTCAAAGCCTTTTTTGCCACATAGTCATAAAACAAGAAAGAATACCTTCTTTGCACTTCCATTTTTTTTATTTAAGTATAGCTCTAGTTCTGAGCCGTAAAGAAAAAGTATATTAAAAAAATATTAAACCCTTAAAATGCTAAATGAAACTATATACACACACTCCAAATCACTTATGTCAGAATTCGAGTCAGCCTATTCAATCCTCTATTAGAAAGTTATTATTCTATTGCTTAGAAAGTTTAGAATTGCTAAGTAATGGACTACGATTACATATTCACATAACTTCCCCATCAAAATTAGACTTCCTGGCACAGGCCCATGGGAAGAAGCCCCCAACACTTATTTGTAAAAGCATCAACATTTACATAGCACACACAGACACTGCACTAGCAGAGAACATCAACAAAACAAGTAATATCCCAATAGATTAACAAAAATGTACAAAAATTATCGAAGAAGCACTTCCAGAAGAGTATTCCTTAGCACCTTAAATTAGGAGTCAACTCAAACCAGTTTAATTAGCTCTGTAATACAAACACCAGTATGGTACGCATGTTATGCGGCCTACATTTAGTTTACTATGCAACTGATCACAAATTCCTATGGCTTATTAGCCTTTTCCCTTGTGCATCTCTGCAGCTATAAGAAGCAGACAAGTATAACCTGAAGCACGTTAGCTCCAACCAATTTCTCCACATTTACAACACTTACTAAACACAGAGCCTGCCCACAGGTACACAGGTCCTACCAAAGTCATAAGGCAGGCAAAAAAGTTTCTTTTAAGGACTTCCACAGTAATTTTGCATCACCTATTCCATTTCATGACTTCTGAATTCTTCTACCAAGACTCAACATCATCCTTAAAATTCCTAGTAAAAAAATTTCATTTGGTATTCCAGAACTTCATAAAGTTATCTATGATCAGTTTCTAATAGGAATTCATCTGCATTGGAAAGGTAAGAACCAAAATAACCTAAAGGAAGAAGAGTTTTTATTTCTAAGAAAATCCAGGAATGATGAAACAGCTCAGTATTCAAAAATCTTAGGTACACATATAGAACACTTTGGTGTACACAATTTTAAAAGTTCAAGTTGGCAAAAAAGTATGTGGAATACAAGCCAAACTTCATAAGGCTTTTCTTACGTATTTTTATTTTTGGATCAATGTATACTTCTTATTTTTACTTGCAAATAGTCAAGTCCATGAAACTCAAAACCTCTGTAAATCATCCCTAACAAAAGCTGCAGTAAAGTTGCAGTTTCTAAGCACCTACAGTTAGGAAATACCAGAATTAAGTAAGCTATATTTGTTGCAGCTGCTTCTGCATATACAAAATACATTCACTGTACCATCATACATCATGTCACTACACAACCTCCCCAAATTTTTCAAGTGTTACTAGATAGATCTGCCTTGAGGATCAAAGAAGCTTCCACTGACTGGTTTCTTTCTTCATGTTCTGAAGTTGGAATTCACACTGAAAATGAAGATGGAAATCAGAAACGCAGGAAGAAGAAGGAAGATCTCATGGTGAAAGTAATCAAATACTGTCCCCAGAACAGGATCCTGTCTCTATCTATACCACAGATGCATAGCAGGTCACTTACAATAAAACTTTGCAGTAACAATTTTTTTCTTCTCAGTTTCTGGGTGTCCAGCCTCAGAGCCAACAGCCACACCTGAAGTCAGTGTGAAATGTACTCTGAACATAGGCAATGCTGCACAATGCTCTGAAACATTAAGGTCCTAAATGACCAAATCTACACCTCAAACCTATAAATACATTTGATCTTAAATGTCTGTTTCTCAGTTTCACATATTTAAAATAGGAATGCTATCACACATCTCAAGAGCTATTTTGAAGACAAATTCATTAATATGGAAGAGGCATTTAGATACTCTGACCATTACAGAACTATTCATATCTTTAGAGAACTTTTCAGACTACCTTTGAAGAGTGTGCAGTTAACCAGAGATGAAAACAAGCAAGAACAAAATAATTTGCATCATGTGAGCTATGTCCAGTATATGAAGGAAGGCTGGTAAGAGTCGATGATAACACACACAAAGTACGTCTGGAACTAAAGTGGCTTGTTTTGATTTTGTGTTTTTAACTGGCAAGCCTAATAACATTTCTCGACTGGCTGACTTCACAACATTAAAAATTACATTATGTTTTTAATAAAACATTAATTTCCCTGTTTTTTTGCAAACCAGAAACTGACGAAAAAGCAATTAAGTTATATAGTATCACATGGATGCTCTTATAAGTCTGTATGCAAAATACTGGAACCTTTTACACAAACTCAACATGAGGCTAGAGAAGCAAGTAGTCAACAGATGCACCCTATAGCCTTGTGAGTAGAACAGGACTGATGGAGAGGAGGACTGTACCAGCAGATGACAAAGAAATTGGCTGACAGTCATCTCCAGCTATGGACGAGAAGGTTTTGCTCTGGCAGGCAGAGTGCCCTCCCTCCTGCCCTACTGCTATTCCTACCTCCCCTCACACAGAGACAGACAGTCTCTGCCTTGCTTCAAAATTGAGGCCAGGTCCTAGTTTTGCAGCCAAACTATTTCCTGGTCCTATCCTTCCAATTGTCCCTCTAACTCCTTATCCATAAGTTCAAGCAGGGAGGGAGAGGGGTGTTAATAACCTAACTTTCCTTTCGAATTCAGACACCTTGGAAATTCCTCTTCCTTACCTCCCATTCCTTATGCCGAGCCTTCTTGCCCAGATAGCCCACCTGTACTACTGCTGATCCACTTCCTCGCCACAGGCAAAAACGACTGACCTGGTCTTCTGTTAAGACTTCTAGTCCTGGAGTCACAAGGTTTGCCCAGCTCTCCTCCCATCTGTGCTACATTCAAAGCTATATTACCACAGCATCGCCTGACAAATAATGGGCAGCACAATAGAACTAAGCTGCCCAGTTCCCATTGCTAAACCTAATACTACCTGGAGCAATCAGAATCCAAAATTGCAGGGAAAGTCTTGTTTATTCCTATACAAGACTCACATGCACAGAAGTTCAGATCTTTCAGAATCTGAAGCTTCCTCTAGAGTCCTGTGCAAAGAGGATGTCAGAGAAGCACCAGGTGCCCAACTTTACCTAAAGCGAGGAGGACAAACTGCATCTATTCCTCACGATCTTACCTACGTAGTTTTTGCAGCTTTTCCTCACAGATCCTCGAAGATACACAATGGCTGCAAAGCAGCAGTGGGGTTACATCCCCCCATACACACCTAGTCACCTTCTGCAGGAAACAGCATGTGTCCATATACCAGTAAGACAACATAAAACATCTACAAAAAATTTGTCGAAAGTTTTAGAAAGATTTATACAGAATGTTATTGATTAACACAGATGTGAAAAAGCAATCTTCAGGAACTCAGTGGTAACAGAGAGAGGAAGAAATCAGGAGGAAAACGAGTAAAATAGAAGTTACTTTGGTATTATTTGGTTGATTTTCTTCCCTCCCCAAAAAAGTTATGGTTCCCTTGCATTGCAGCCATTGTTTCTTTCAAAATACCTAGGCACACAGGTAATTGGCTTGAATCAATACCAAAACTCAAAAGTAATATTACAACATATTTTTCTGGATTTCAGAAATTGGCACTAGATCCCCCTTCATGATGAGCTAAATAAATGTAATAAAAATGCTGAGCCTCCTGAGGTCTAATATTTCTTCTAAAGTATTTCCATACTTATAGCAGAATTGCTTTAAAATACCTCACTGGAATGAGAATACCACAGTAAATCTCAACACATTACAAAAACACTACAGCACTGAGACACTCTATTATTATTATTTTTAAACAGCAATTGGTTTCGCTTATTTCATAGCGTAAGTGAAGGAACTCTATGCAATCTGTCCTTACTACAAATATCAAATAAATGCTTGGAAGCCTTCAATTCATTTATAGTATTTCCTCTCCTCCTTCTTATGACAAACATGTCAATAGTTAAAATGACCAAACTGCTTATTGCGAAACCTAGCCAGTATACTACTGTGGCCCAAAAGCAAGTTTCTAATTTTTTTTTAATATATTTAAGGCAATGCTGAAAAAAAAAAATTACTTTTTCATTAAAAGATACAAGAGCTTTTGTGGCAATTCTATACATTGCCCTAAAGAGAAATTCTATTCTTTACAAATATGTACTATGTATAAAATAATAACAACTAAAAAAAAGCAGCCCTCTCACTGACAGACTGCTTCTTACACAGACTAAGGGAGATGGCATAAAGACAGTTTTCTATACAAGATATTTCCTCTGAGGAGCCAGGCTCACTGAAGAAGTGTTAACAAGATTTTTTTTTTTTTTTTTTTTTGCACAATAGACAT